CCGAAAATGACAATAAAATAGCGGTATGCAACGTGTGTGTGAAGCAGAAATCCTGCAGCTCCGCCCGCTGTGACGGACCGATGAGCGGAGCAAAACACACAAGAGTTAGACCTAACACACTTAGCTATTTTATCTACCTCTGGAACAAGCTAAACTAGTTATAAATATATTTATTCTTCACTGTCGGGTCACTCATTACTGGATCAGTGAGCTGCATGAGACGGATACTGACAGGCTGTCAGGAGAGAGAGAGAGGGGGAGAGAGGAAAAGAGAGCGCTTCTGCTTATTTCTCCCGTGTTATTATCCAAAGTTAATGTAAACTTGAATAATGTACTTCAGGGCTATTCAATTGGCGGCCCGCGGGCCAAATCCGGCCCCGGGGTGATATGTACTGGCCCTTTGAGTATAATGTTAAAAAGTAATCAATTTTTTTTTTTTTTTGTGCCATAGTGCCTTTATTCCAGAGAGGGTGTTACATTGAGAGATAGAGGGGTAGACAATGCCTGAAAACTTCGACGGGCTCGGGTTTCGAACCCACCTACTATACTGTAGTGACAACTCCTGTCATTGATTGCATCTCTGCGTGAATGATTAGATAATTTCACCTAAATGAAATCAAATGAAACATGTAGGCCTACTGAGTTCTGAACTTGCCATTTAGATCTATAAAGGCCTTGGGGCTATGTTGTTTGATTGAATTAAACACAATATATGCACTCCACTATGCTGTTGTAGTATTTACTGTATCTGAAGCTCTTAAATATGATTGCTCATATTTCAAGCCATCTTTTTCCCGGCCCCTTGCTTTGGATAATTTTCATCAACCGGCCCCCATTCCAAACTAATTGAATAGCCCTGATGTACTTCATTTGAATGTAATAATTATGTTGGTTGTTGTTTGTGGAAGCGCTAGTGAATGAGCCCTATTAACTGAGTTTTAAACATCACTTTAAATGGAAGATCCCCATAGGCCCCGCCCACTCGATCGGATCGGTGATCCGTATCGGCCGATACTGATTCCGGCGATCGGCCCCAAAATCGGCGATCGGAGCATCCCTAATAGTGCCCAACATTAGCTATTTTGTGCACTTATACAGTATGTAGAGTCATGTATTCAAAAATGTTACCTTGTCATACCACTGCCCCTGTGGTTCCCCCTCCCTGCTCAGATTCCACTCCCCTTGTTCAAGACCAACTTGTCCCTGTCCCATCGGGCTGTGGGGATCCAGCAGCTCCCCGTCTCTATACATGGACCACTTATTGAGGTTCTGCACTGTCCCGTGAGGTAGAACCCTCTCTGCACCCCACACATCCACATCTTGCCCCAAGCCTTCAACTCCAGGGCCCTGTGCCCAGTGCTCTTCAGGGCCGGACCCCTGGACCTGGGGTGACACTACAGCGTATGATGGTAGGCGAAAAGAGGCCCCTCGGAGGTTAGCATTCTGCAAGGCCCCAGAGAGATTAAGTGACCGTGGCTCTGGGGCGCTAGGGGCACCAAGCCGTTTCATGATATTACCATCGGGGAGACGGTAATTTGCCCCACGTAGGTTTGGGTTCTTTGATAAGGCGTTGGACAGGTCAAGTGTTCGAGGTGCAGCAGCAGGTTGAGGGGCGGGTCATTAGAGATCCGTCAGGCAAACGGTAGGTAGCAGATCGGATGTTCTTGTTACGTAGAGCGTTGGAAAGATCAAGGGAGCGTGATTCAGTGGTAACATCAGAACCAGGCTGCCTCAATAGTGATGTCTTTGGGAGTGCGTAGGAGGCACCTCGGACGTTGGTGTTTAACATAGCACCAGAAAGGTTAGGACCAGAGGGAGCTTGGGGTTGCTTCCGCGAAAACAATGCTGATCCCTCTGGGAGCTGAAACTTTGCCGTACGCATGTTAGCATTCATCAGGGCGCTAGATAGCCCCGGTGATGATACAGCATTCTGCGTTTCCTCCACCGGATGGGTTATAAATGAACCATCTGGTAACCGATAAGAGGCCTTACGAACATTAGGGTTAAGAAGAGCAGAAGAAAGCATAGAAGGTGAAGGGATGGCGGGCTCTGGTGATGGCTCATTTCTTGAAACCAGAGTTCCATCAGGCAGCCTATATGTGGCTTTACGTACATGGGGGTTTAACAGTGCAGAGGAAAGCATAGAAGGTGAAGGGGTGGCGGGCTCTGGTGATGGCTCATTTCTTGAAACCAGAGTTCCATCAGGCAGCCTGTATGTGGCCTTACGTACATTGGGGTTTAACAGTGCAGAGGAGAGCATTGGAGAGGAAGGGGAGGGTGCAGTTGTGGGTTCTGTCCTTGTTACAAGAGTGCCATCAGGCAAACGATATGTGGCTTGCCGCAACTGGGATTGAGCAAGGCAGAGGGACAGCATCGGGGACGAGAGGGGTGACGGACCTGGGGAAGGTACAGCAGGTTCCGTTCTGGTGACCAGAGAGCCATCAGGTAGTCGATAGGTGGCCTGACGTAGACTTGGGTTCTGCAGGGCATTGGAGAGCATAGAGGGGGACAGCCTCCCACCACCACCATCAGAGGTAACAGGGGGTACAACAGGACCGCGGGACATTGTCAAAGTGCCACTTGGAAGCCTTAACATGGATCCCTGGATTTGGGAGGTTCGCAAACCACCTGAGAGAAATGACGTGGTCCCCCGTTGAGGTGTGGGGGGAGGAGGGGCAGGAGATAAGGGAGAAAGGTGTCGCTGAAGGGGTGAAGCATATGATGCATTACGTAGCTGGGAAGTAAGCATACCGGAAGACAAGTATGGGGAGGAGCTAACAGTTGGGCCTGGCGGGGCTACTGCCTGAGGGGATGAAAAAACAGGTGTATAGACATTCGCATTGCGTTGCAGTGGAGACGAGTAGGAGGCATTGCGTAGTTGGGAGTTCTGCATCAGAGCATTGGATAGGCCAATACTGCCATATGGCCTCCCCTGCTGGCTCACCTGTACATCAGCCAACATCTCCACCTGGCTACCAGGTATGGGGGAAGGGCTTCTCTGTAAAGGTGTGGTGTAGTTGGCATTCTGCAGATAAGGGTTCTGCAGTGCGCGCCCCAAATGAGGTGAGGAAGGTGCAGGATGTGGAAGGTTTTGAGGGTAGACTTCATACTGTGTTTGGGGAGAGGAGGGTCTTGGTAAAGAGTAAGCAGTGTTGGAGTAAGGAATGGAGGAAGGAAGAGAAGGAGGATAGGGAGCACCTATAACCTGAGGGTTCGGTAAAGCATTTGTGAGCATGGGGGAAGGGCCTGGCTCCATTATTGTGTAGTCATAATGGGTTATACCCTGAGATGGCTGGAAAGTTCCAGGAGCAAAACTGGGGTGAGGTGCTTGAGGTTGAAAAGATGTTGGCCCTAGACTCTGGGGACTCATAGCCCTTTGGGGATACGGGGACGTTGGGCGAGACACATAGTGCATCGGAGAACCTGAACGGGAGGGGAGAGTAGATCGGCGATGCAGTGGAAGGGGAGATGAAGGTCTACTCTGCAGCCTACGCACTGATGGCTGGGCAGAAAGAGGGCCACTCTGTTTTAAAGAAGGCTGTGGAGAAACAGGAGGCATTGGAGGAGGTCCTCTAAAAGACTGTCTAGATTGAAGAGAGGGCTGGTTTCTGGGCATCCTGACTAACGGCTGCCCTCTACCTACAGGTCTGTGGAAGCCTCCTTGGGGAGTACCAATTCGCTTTGACTCTCTTAATCCTGCAGGCCGGGAGCCTGCCCGAGCCAGCATCGGTGTTCCAGCTACACCCCCCATCTGTCCTGAGAAGAAGTTGGGCCACTATGTATAGAGGACCTGAACGGAGCTACATGTTGAGTGACAGGGGGTCCATGTCTACTGCGTCTCTGTGAGTAAGGATTAGCTGGGGAGGGTTTCACAGCCCCCATGGGCACATGATTTCGGCCTCCAGCTCCACCTCTCAGCCTGCGAGTAGAGGTCCGGGTCGGGAGAGGGCGATTGGAGATACGTGATGGCGAAGGAGAGGGTGGGCGATAGGGGGAAGTGGGGCGAAAGGTTTGAGGGGGAGAGTGAGGTCTTTCAGTCATAGGTGGGCTCCGTCTTTGCGGGGATGGTAGGGGAGGGGAAGGGGAACGCCTCATTTTGTTTGATTGATTTCTACCTTTGAACTTATGTGGTCTGGTAGATGGAAGAGGCACAGCATCAGGAGGAGGTTGCTGTCTGAAAGAGAGTCTTGGAGAAGGTGGTGGGCTTGCTCTCTTTCTGAATGATCCCCGGGGTGAAGATAAGGGGCTAGAAAGGGGGGGATTGGGGTCGGACAGTTGATGGAGCCCTGCGTAACCCAACTCCCCCCCTACCTCTAGACAGGGTTGGCTGAGCTCTAACTGACATCCCTCTCCTCTGGTATGATGGGGAAGAGGGTGGGCTGGGAGGCCTTCGCA